AGAGGGCGGCGCAACCGAGATCCAGGCCGGGGGCGGTTGAGATCTAGCACTACCACTCTTCTCCACCAATGTGGGTCTTAGTGAGGGCGCGAGGCGAGCACGGGTGTGGTGGGCACGGGTCTTGGTACGAAGGGGTTGGATGAGGCGAATGATGGGGAACGAGAGGAGAGAGGAGAGAGAATACAGGGGTATGCAGGTCTTTTGGCATTGTTGTTGGTTTACGTGCCGACTCTTAGAACGACCGTAATTTTGAGACGGAGGGAGTAGGCCTTACATGTACTCCATCCATTATATATATTCTAGCTTTTCAAGAAGTCAATTATTTTCAACTTTAACTAAATATATATAAGAAAATATTTAATTCATGATATATAATTAGTATATGATTAAATGAATTATTGAATATATTTCCTAATAAATTTATTTAAAGATATACATATTGGTGATATTTTCTACAAATTTAATTTAACTTAAAAAACTTTAACCAACATAAACCTTATATAACGATATTCTTTTTAGGACCGAGAGAACCATATAAACAACAAGAGGGCAGAGTTTTCCAGAGGTACTCATTCTGTCCCTTTTAATTGTCGTTCTCACCTTCTAAGAAGTCAAACATATTTAACTTTGACTAAATATATAAAATAAAATATTAATATTTATTATATATAATTAGTAACATTAGATACTTTCTCCGTTCCAAACTATAAGACATTTTGGCTTTTCTAGATTCATAGTTTTTTCTACGTATATAGATATATATTATGTCTAGATAAATAGTAAAATCTATGAATTTAGAAATGCCAAGACGTCCCATAATTTAGGACAGAGGAAGTAAATTGTTGAATCTATTTTTATAATAAATTTATTCGTAAATACAAATGTTGCTAATATTTTTTTTTATAAATTTAGTGGCACCGTTCCTATGGCGACACTTGAACTGTTGTGGTGGGAAGGGGCATGGTGCCTGGTGATGGACTGGTGCGTGGTGGTCCGGTGGGCCGATTTTTTTTTTTTTTAGTCTTTTTTTAAAGATATTCACATTTAGACCCTTGAAGGTTTATTTTCATTTTCTGGACCCTGAGCTCGGCGCTGTAGCAAGGCGTCGAGGTTACACGTCTCGACGCCGTAGTCATTGGCGCTGAGGTTCAAGGTTATTTTCTGTGTGGCGTTGACGTGGCTGCTTGCATGGCGTGGACGTGGCACCGGCTCGACGCCGTGGGTGTTGGCGCTGAGCTCGGCGCCACTTCGCCTAGCGCCAACCTGACTTGTAGGCGCAACCCTTGGCAACTGCATGTCAGGATATGGCAGGATGATAGACATACCTGTGGACCTATCTGTTCAAAGCTAGAGGAGAGAGAGAGAGAGCACGGCTGCCTAGCTAGTCCAGCTGCACGGGCACGCCTGGAGAGTGGAAGAGGATAGGAGTCCTGTGCTTGCGCGAGCCTCTCATACACGCATATTAATGAGAGCTTAGTGTTGTGCACGGTGGACCGCGTAGGCACAGCAGCACCTGCCCTGCCCCCGACTGTGAGCGTGAGCAGAGTTGAGAAGCTTGATTAAAGTTTCTAATGAATATACGGCCATTGTATCTGTTAAGTTAAATGGTTCAAATTTAACTAAGTTTCTAGTGGATCGTATTTAAATTTATGACTTAGAATCAATTTATTATGAAAATATATTTCATAATAAATCTAATAATATTTATTCCAATACACCATGGACAACTAGACCGAATCGAATAGAACATACCAAGACATAAATCAAGGAGTGCTACGTGCACGAGCGAACGACGGCGGCCACCAAGACACGGATATGGTAAAAAGCATGCGGAAAAATCAAGCTTGAGCCACGTTGGTGCATGAGCGAAAAAGTCTTTGGGACAACTTGCTTCGACTAGCTAGGAAGGCAGGCGTGGGCACATTTGCCGATTCTGAAGAAGGAGCCATCGGGGGTCGCGTGCAGCCACGTCTGCTGCTGCCGGTTGCGGAGAAGGAGCCATGGGGGAAAATCTTTCATTCTTTTTTTTGACCTTTCATTCTTTTTAACTAGGAGGAAAAATCTGTTTTACCAAATGTTTTTAAAAATATCGTGGTTACATATAATGTATATGTCTAATATTTATGGGTTTAAAAAATACTGTAACGATGTTCTTCTTATTTATGCTTGATCCATTTTCTATCAGATGGAAAGAAAATACTATATAAAATGATATTTATGGTTAATTTTGACTAAATACATAACATCAAACAGCTTGCAGATAGTCCATCGTATAACCTATGTTTTTAACTGTTTATGTTAAAATTAAAAAAAATGCAGACATGAGGGATACATGTTTTCTTGTTTTATTTCTACGGCCGAGTAGTCTACGTCTAACATTGTTTTCTATTCTTTTTTCTCCCTTCAAATGAGGGGACTGGTGTCTCAGATTTTGATCAAAAAGTAATTGATCTGAAGTTTTATGAGCATGTCCCGCGGAGTTCAATAGTAGCGTGAATTAAAATACGACGCATCGTTGGATAAATCTCCAATCTTTTCATGTTTGTATGAGTTAGAGCAAGATTTAAAGACGAATTGAAACACATGTCACTTTAGTTAAATATATAAATTTCGAGCCAAAAGTCGTGTAAGTGACCATTCAATAAACAGTGTGTTTCATTGCAACGTACATGCATTTTTTATAATAAAATACTAAACCATGGCATTGTGCTAGAATTACATTCTTTCTAAGATGGAGTGAGTATTTAAGTAAAACCATTTGATAGATCATTGAACCAACTTTTATGAGAAACTTATTTGGAAATATAAATGTTATTAATATTTTTCTTTAAACCAACTCAAATCCCTTTTTCTGAGTTTTGCTTTCATATATTATTTATATAAATTTGATTTAACTTAACAAACTTTAATATAACACTGCTCTAAATTATGAATGTGCATTGCTGTTGGTAGAAACTACAGAGTAGTAGAAAAATTGAAGTAAGCAGTAGAAAGGTTGAAGCATGATATGCATACTATACACCACTGTGCACAACAGGAAGGGTGAAAAAGCTATCCTTGATACACGTGCATGAGAGAAAATTTCCACACGCTGCATGAATGCATGTTTGTTTTTTCGATGCGCGTGCTAGGACTCCACTGCCCTCTCTCTCTAGTTGCCAGACGGCTACAACTGCAAATCAAGTTGGTGCTCGTCGAAGTGGCGCCGAGCTCGGCGTCAAGATCCATGGCGCCAAGCCGGCATCACGTTCACGTCACGCAAGGAGCCACGTCAACGCCATGCAGAAAATAACCTCGCACCTCGGCGCCAATGACTATGGCGCCGAGACATGTAAGCTCAACGCCAATTGCTACGGCGCCGAGCTCAGATCTATTTTTTAAAGGATACCGATAAGGGCGTATTTGTGAAAATATTTGAAAAAAAGGTCAAAAAGGAAAAAATTCAGGTCCGATGGGCACCCCCGGTCAACCCTGCCCCGGAGACTGGTCTTGATGAAGAAAGACAGTTCCATCATCTCCCACCCCTGAAAATCCCTCAAATCAAAGCTTAACCTCTCCACTTCTTCCCATCTCCATCCCCGTCCCACCGTCGTCCTCGATTGGATCCATCCTCTTCGCTCGCCGCCTACCGCTATCAGCATCTCTAGCAGCAGTAAACAAAGCCAGTGAGTGAGACCCAAATCTCTCTCGCTAGTCTTGCTCCCCACCCTCACAATCCTCTACGCTAATTTATACTAGCGAGTGAGACTATCTCCAACAAAAAACCTATATGAGCTCCCAAACCAAAAATGGATAGCTAGAGACCTAAAATCAGCTTCCAACAAAGTACCTATACGGGAGACCTATTTTGGGTTGCCTGAGAGGTACAACCCAAATATAGGCATCCTCTCTCTTGGAAACCCATTTGCAGAAATGATTCTCTTTTGGGTCTTATTGTTGGAGAAGATGTCGAATATGTATTGAACCTTTTATCTGTAGCGCTACCTAAAGAACGAATATGTCTTGCATTTTGGTTGTTGTTGTTGGAGATAGCCTGACAAGGAGATCCTGGGGCCTTCTACTTATATATATCATCCTCACAACCAGCCTGTTCGCTTGTTGGTTTCAGCTAAGGCTTATCAGCCGTGGTACAATATTTTTCTCTCATAACAAACCAGCACCGATCAGACTTATCAACCCAGAAACTAACCAGCGAACAGACTGAACATATTGACTGCTTTTCTCTCCCCAGCATTTTTGGCAAGTGTTACAGTGGCGTGCCACTGTGTATGCAGAGGAAGGCAGACTGCCTATATACCAACAATATATATATATACATCTGAAAAAGAAAAAAATCATATTCATTGTATATATATATTATATACTAAATCTGTTTTAAATTATAATTCATTTGATTTTTTTATCTTAAATTTGACCACTCTTGTTATTAAAAAAATTATTAAAATATAGTTAAATTTAAGTTATTCTTAGGTATTATATATATCGGTATTTGGCGGACACACGCGAGGGGGAGACGCTTCTCAATTCATCCACCTCGTCCTCCTTTTGTCCCTATCAACCCCTTTTTCTCTCTCTCTCTCTCTCTCTTTCTACCTCGCCCCGGCATCGCATTTCATTGTTTTCTCCTCTCCCGCATCCCAAATCATCCTCCTTTCTAAACCCCCCAAAACCTCCACGAAATACCCCACCCACCCCCGGCCCCCGCGCGCCCATGGACGGCCCACCGCGGCCGCCGCCGCCCAATGCGCTGCTACGATCGCCGTCCGCGGGCGCCGCCGGGTGCCGACTCCCGCATTAGCCGCGCACCGCGGGGAATTCCACGCCGCCGCCACCGCGGGATTCGATTGGCGGGTTGGTGACCGGAAAGGAAGAGGTGGTGGTTCCCTTTCTTTTCTCCGTACGGCCCGGCGCGATCGGTTCGCGGATCGTTGGTTGGTTTGTCGGTCGGTTCGTCTGCCCCTTGTTCGCTGGGCGGCGAGGCGATCGGTCCGCCGGCGGCCATGTCCACGGCAACGGCCAAGGAGGAGGAGGCGGCCGCCGCTTCGGTGGCGGCCACGGCGCCCGCAATGGGCGGCGAGGAGGCCGCCGCGCGGGCCACGCAGAAGCGCTACGAGGCCCTCCTCACGGTGCGGGCCAAGGCGGTCAAGGGCAAGGGCGCCTGGTACTGGGCGCACCTCGAGCCCGTTCTTATCCCGCCCGTCGACACCGGCATGCCGCCCAAGGCCGTCAAGCTGCGCTGCGCCCTCTGCTCCGCCGTCTTCTCCGCCTCCAACCCGTCACGGACCGCCTCCGAGCACCTCAAGCGTGGCACCTGCCCCAACTTCGCTGCCCCGCCGCCGGGACCCGCCGGCGCCTCGGGCTCGCAGCCGTCGCCGACGTCCACGCAGCAGCAGCTTGCGCTGCCGTCCAACTCCACCGCCTCGTCCCCTGTCCCCATCTCCTCCATTGCGCCCTCCTCGCCGCGCCACCACCAGCACCACCACTCCAATCCGCACCATCACCACCACCACCAACAACAACAATCCGGCAACCGCAAACGCCACTCCATGCCGCCCGCGTACACGCCAGCGGACCCCGTGTCCCACCATCATCACCTCGTCGTTGTTGACCCGTCCTCGGTCTACTCTCCGGCGTTGCCCGCTCTGCCGGCGCCCCCTGCGCCACACCAGTCGTCGGCACTCGTGCTCTCCGGCGGCAAAGACGACTTGGGTGCTCTCGCCAGGCTCGAGGACAGCGTCAAGCGCCTTAAGTCACCCAAGGCATCGCCGGTCGCCATGATGCCCAAGCTCCAGGCTGACGCGGCGCTCGCCTTGCTGGCCGACTGGTTTCTAGAGTCATCGCCTGGCGTATCCCTCTCCGCCGCTAGCCATCCCAAGCTCCGGGCCTTCCTCCGCCATGTCGGGCTACCGGACCTGCAGCGCGCCGACCTTGCTGGCCCGCGTCTCGACGCCCGCTTCGCTGAGGCGCGCGCCGACGCCACCGCGCGGGTTCGGGACGCGCTCTTCTTCCAGCTTGCCGCCGACGGCTGGCGGGAGAAGGTGGTCACTCTCTCTGTCAACCTCCCAAATGGCACGTCCGTGTTCCACCGCGCTGTGCCGGTACCCGCCATGGCGCCCTCAGACTACGCCGAGGAGCTGATGCTCGACGCCGTGGCTTCCGTCTCAGCCTCAGGTTCCTCCAACGACCTCCACCGTTGCGCAGGCATAGTTTCTGACCGCTTCAAATCAAAGGCGCTGCGTGATCTTGAGAACAAGAACTACTGGATGGTGAACCTATGCTGCCAAATCCATAGCTTCACCCGTTTGGTGCGGGACTTCGCAAGGGAGCTGTCGCTTTTCCGCTCTGCCACAGCCAAGTCTGCCAAGCTTGCTGCCTACTTCAATGCCAAACAGACGGTGCGGTCTTTGCTGCACAAGCATCAAATCCAAGAGCTCGGTCATGCCTCGCTTCTTCGTGTCGCACATGTGCCATTTAACGGCAATGGCAGCAACTGCCGTGCGGCCTTTGAGATGCTGGAGGACATTCTGAACTCTGCACACCCGCTCCATCGTGCTGTGCAAGAGGACTCCTACAAGCTCGTGTGCATCGATGACTCGGTTGCCCGGGAGATTGGGGAGATGGTGCACAGTGAGGCTTTCTGGATAGAGGTTGATGCTGCGCATTCGCTCGTGAAGCTGATAATGGATATGGTGAAGGAGATGGAGGCTGATCGGCCTCTTGTTGGGCAGTGCTTGCCGCTATGGGAGGAATTGCGTAGCAAGGTTAGAGATTGGTGTGAGAAGTTCAACATTGATGAAGGTACTGTTCTGAATGTGCTTGAGAAGAGGTTTAGAAAAAACTACCACCCAGCCTGGTCGGCCGCCTTTATTTTGGATCCTCTCTACCTTGTCAAGGATGCCAGTGGGCGTTACCTCCCTCCGTTCAAGTGCTTGACGCCTGATCAGGAGAAAGATGTCGACAGGCTGATCACTAGAATGGTGTCCCGGGAAGAGGCGCACCTAGTTCTGATGGAGCTGATGAAATGGCGGTCAGATGGGTTGGACCCGTTGTATGCACAAGCTGTGCAGGTGAGGCAGCCTGACCCCTCCACAGGGAGGATGAAGGTCGCGAATAAGCAGAGCAGCAGGCTTGTTTGGGAGACATGTCTGAGTGAGCTCAAGTCGCTGGGCAAGGTAGCTGTGCGGCTCATCTTCCTCCATGCAACCTCCAGGGGTTTCAGATGCACGCCGTCAATGGTGCGCTGGCTCTCTGCACCAGGGAGCTTGGCAAGTGGCAACGATAGAGCACACCGGTTGGTTTTTGTTGCTGCAAATTCGAAGCTACAGAGGAGGGACTTCTCTAGCGATGAAGACAAGGATGCAGAGTTACTTGCTGAAGGGGATGATGATATGGCGAATTTACCTGGCAGTGTGGAACCATAATCAGTGTAACAAACATCCCTGTTTAATTGTTTTCTTATTCCTTTTTCCCATTTAGCATTTTGTAGAATTTGATCCCTAGGAATTGTTAGAATTTTTTGCTACCCTACTCTTTGCTTGGCTTCTAGAATTTCTTCATTTTGCCCGTATTGTTAATTCTTGCTTCCTCACTCTAGATTTTGGTGGGGTGGGGAGTTGGGCATGAGATGGAGGAGATATGCATTATTACCCTTGATCATCAAGTTTGGTTATCGAATGACTGTATTTTGCCTTGCCATATATGATTCTACTATACTATGGGGCCATTGAGGTTGCAGAGAGTAACTGAAGTGTTTCTTGTCGATATGTTTGTAATCGGTGATGCTACGGAATGAGAATGAATATATAACCATTTTGGTTCTTATATGCAAATAAGTTGATGATATATGCAGCTGTGAATGCTAGAACCTAGGTTTGCCACATACTATGTGCTGTCTGTTTCTTTGTGTTTCTAGACGCATTGCTAGTTAGTACATTGGTACTTAGTAGCACGTTGCTCAGCTCTATTCATCACTATACTGATAAGAACAAAAGCGTAATTTTATTTTTGGTTAGCAGGATAAATATAGTAGGGACTCGTAATACTTGACAGAAATTGCTCTCTGAACGTTAATGGTAATTTGTTTTCGGAGTACTTGCATTTTCTATGCGGAACAAACTTACGTTTTCTCTGTGAAACCATCTTGTGCATCATTGGAGGTTGGCCGGATATATATGTGAAACCAATGGCTGGCCTCACCTCGTAGCCTGCAATTGCAACTGCGCTAGCCAAGAAGGGGGTGTTTTTTTTTCACTCTCCAAATCCATACGTGCTACTCCATTTATTCTAAATTATAAGTTATTTTAAAAATTTTAGAGAGACAAAGTATCTTAAGTTTGACTAAAATTATAAAGAAAATTACAAAGATTTATAACATTAAATAAGTAATAGTATGAAAATTTAATTAATGAAGAATCTAATGATACTTAGTTGGGACTATAAATATTATTATCTTATCGTATAAATTTGATTAAACTTAAAATGATTTGACTCAAGATTTTTAGAATGAGTTGTAATTTAGTACGGAGGAGGTACTACGTATGAATAGCTTCGTCACTTTTGAGGTAGGATACGATACGGCCTGCAATTTCAATTCGGCCGGCGATCAAGGTGAGAGGCTGCCCCTACGAATACGATAGACCTTTCACTCACCTGTTACACTTCTTTCTCTGGATCCTACCCATACCATCATTTACTGTTTTCACCAGGGTGGGTAGGCTGAGGCCGCCGAGCGGCACGGGTACTGTGGGTTGATGATGATCGCCGTCGTCCTCGCCGTCGCCTCTTCTGCGTCCATCTCTGCCCGGCGTCGCTGCACGGCCCATGATTGCACCGGACGGAGGCCGGAAGGGAAAAAGCCGTGGTCGGAGGCGCAGACATGGCATGCCAATCTGCCATGGTAGGCTTCCTTTCTTCCCCCATCTCCATGCCACCCGTCACAATCAGGGCCAGTCTTTGACAATCATTCGCTTTTTCTTCATTTTGCAGGCGTGTACTATCGTATTGCTATTGCTATTGCTATTGCCTTCTCACATACGAGTACGTACGGAGTACCTCCAGGACGGGCAGCGGCTCCTCTTGCTCTGCATAGCAAACAAACCTGCTCAAGTGCTCGTGGATGGTAGTAAGCTGCTGCCTAAAGGAAAGGAAAGGCGTCAAATCAATTCAAACGACGACGGGCAACAAGGACAAGGTCCATTAGGGAGGGAGGACTGAAGGATGAGCGAAAAAGCCTGCGGCGTACAGGCTGTTGTAGTACATGGGGTAAGACACATGGGGCGTGGCCCGTATCATTTGATGATCCTGAATCACTGTCCGAGCACATGTTTACCTGACGGATCATTACCATTTCAACTTTATTAGGCGGCGACGTAGGGGGTAATTATTCATTCGGTGTAATGCGTCCGTCCGCCGGTGGTCAGTAAAGCGGTCGTGCTGACTGCTGCTGCTGCTGCTCCTCCTGCTGCGGCGTGTGTGTGCATGGCGTCTCGTCCTTGCTGTTTTTTCTTTCTTTTCGCTCCAGTGTCAGTCAGCCGGCCGGCCGGCACTGCTTGGCTTGCTGGAGAGAGCTGTGCGTAGTGTAGGAGGAGACTCTAATGAGAGGAGTTGTTAAAGTGGTAGCAGCGGTACGACCCACTGCTGCAGGAATAGGTGTATTGTGCCTTTTTCCCGGGTGGCTTTTTGCAACTTGGTGTACTATATATTTTGTACACATATTTGTGTAGGAGTAGTTGAGAATATGATGCTTTGGGAGTCCTCCAGTCCTTGAGACAGTAGTCAGATAAAGCTTTGCTCGCTCGCTTGGTATTTCTCTCTCTCTCTCTCTCCTTGTTGGGTGGGTCCTACTTAGGAGCCACTTTTTTCCTCATCTTGGACTAATGATACGGCATTGCACAATCAAGCAAGCCCTTGTTTGCTCGCCTTGCCTTTTCCACCCCTGCCAGCCAGCAAATACACGAATGAGTATTGGATGGACCGACCCTGCGAGTGTGGACATATAGACAAGCAGGCCAGGGAGGGAGTGTGTACATCTACATCATCTCATCAATCCCTGTGCATGAAAGAAAGAGACCTACCCTACCCACAGTCAGTAGTGCATGGGGAAGCAAGTGGAAAATATGTGCAGCAACGATTTGAAAAATCAAAGCGGCGTTCCATTCCTCCAGCCTCCCCTGTTTTTAGGTGTGTTCTTAGGATCTAGTAGTAGGCCAAAGCAGGGCAGGGGGTGGGGAGAAAAAGGCCATGCCAGTACGAAGCCAGCCAGGATTGTGACTGATTCCCTGTGCCCGATCGTAATCAAACTGAACCGAATTAGTATCTGGGACGTCGACGGTGCCATGTCCATGTTGTTAGCTCGCTCGCTCGTAAACAAGCCCTGCTGACTGCAAGTGTGCATGTCTGGCGTGAGGAGGCTCGTTCCTGCCGAGAAAGGGGGAAACACCTGAGGGGGCGACGGATGCCGATGCCGATGCCGATGCCTCCTCTGTTTGTCTTCCTTTCTCTCGCAGGGATCCGAGCTGAGGGGTGAGGGCTTTGCTTTGCTTTGCCTTTGCTGTAGGTTTCTTTCGCTCTCAGACTCTCGGTCTCATTCCCAGTCTCTCTCTCTCTCTCTCTCCTAGGAGATGGATGGTGGTGGGCTAGGCCCCATTGCAACCGTCTTTCTCTGCGAAAGCACAGTGCTGTTGAGCTGAAGGAGAGGCGGTCCCAGTGCGTGCAGTGTGGATGTCAACCTCAGCCCCCTAGCCAAGGGACCGACCTCACTGCTTATGTTCAGTCTGCGCGATGGCTTAGCCTTGTCTGCCTGTTGGGATGGCTGACTGGTCTGTGGCTGGATCGTGGATTATTATTGTTGGTTAGTCTGGTGTAAAAGAAAAATATTGTTTTAGCTAAAAATTTACGATCGTTTACGAGATCCACCCGCCAACCGAACAGGCTCACGTTACCTCCAAGCCACCTCTCCTGTCCGGGACTGTTCACGCCATCTACGTTACCCCATGTTATGTATGCTCTCATGGTCTTATTAGCTAGTAATAGACCGTTGGATTGTCCTAGCTACTCTAATTAAGACACTTTCGTTCCTTTGATGACTCGCATCGCTCATCTCCCGGCCCGTCGACGATCACGACGGTGGTCGGCGTCGGTGCGACGGCGGACGTACGTACGCGTGCACGATATCTAGATGTGCGTACGTCGGCGGTGGAGCCGAGGGCGCCACTTCTGTCGGGGCAGATGCTTAGGACACGCGCTAGAGTACAGGCGCGCTAATCACCTACTAGCGTCTACTAGTTTAAATTTAATGGGTACTACTTGTACAGGTAGATCACTTTTTTTATCGATATATACGTACTAGTACGTACTAGCAGCATTGGGAGGGAGGCTGGGAGCGGTAGCAGAGAGAGAAGAAGAGTGAGAGCAACTTGCTGACAATGATGGAGGTTCTACAGTTCGTAGCAAATGGCTTGTGCATGCATTTTTTTTACTAATCGATCGATCGATCAATAATGCAGCTGACTGGCTGGCTGGATTAGTGGGCCGGGAGAACAACATCCATCGGGTTAAATTTGAACCTTGCGGGGCGGGCTACAGATTAACCACGAGTATTTTCATTAGGTGACAGCTAAAATCGTTCTGTTCTATTTTGTGCTTGGCCTTATGACGGTGTTTCCTTAGGGATCTCGTGGAGAAGGTTAGCATGTGTGAAGAATAAACATGGATGTAAAACAAATACTCACCTTTTTGTCCTTAATACAAATTCATCAAGATCTACCTCTTCTCGCAACTGTCAAAATAAATTAAGCCTAGTAAGGAACGAAGTGCCAATGAATATTTTTACGTTTACTTTTCTTGTCTGCTTCTACATCAATTAATACTTTAATAATTAACGGGCAAACAATATCCAACACTTTTAATAATGTTGACAATAAATCACATTTGCACCATGCACCTTACTAATTTGTGTTATAATTTCTAATGTACTTATATCTGAAATTAGGTAAATAGAATAACAAAATATGGTAGAAATAATGAAATATCGCCCAACCTGGAGCATGCACGCCAGCATCAAACGAAACTTTTTCCTGTTTTTGTGCTGGCTTCGCTGTTGGATTTTTTTTTCCCAAACCAATGCACGTTCTGCCATGGCAAGAGGCGTAGAATTAGATAGAACGGAATGCGGAAGGACTTCAACTTTTAGTTAGAAGCTTGGACTAGGGCAGCAGGTATATTTGTGTTCAAGTTTAGGGCCTTATGAACCGGTGAAAGGTCTCACGGTGAATTTGGTGTCTAATTTAAAACCTAAAATCTAGAGTTTAATTGAACCGTCATTAGAAAAAGAACAAAATTTCTTTTTTGTCTCAAACTTTTGTTAAAGTATGGAAAATATGGATTTAGAACTCAAACTTTAAAGCTAGTCATGTCCAGCAAC